ATGTAAAATATGTCAGTCCTTCCAAGCAAATTTTTATCATTTTAAATACATTTTTTTTTTTATCCTGTCCCTTCATCAACAGTTCAAAGATGGAATAACACAAGATATGATGAAATACATCCATTTATTTACATGATTTTCAGGTCTTTGAAATTTGGGAAATAATTTTTGTTCCATGTTTCATACATGGTCTGTTTAAAACAGATGGAACTTTAGAACCAAAAATGGTACAGAAAAAAGGTCAACAGTTTCATAAACTAGAGTACATATGTATCTGTTCAATACATTTTTATATCAGATGCATTAACTTGAATTTTTGGCCTTGTTATTTACTTCTGCTTGACCGGGCCCAGTAGTTGTGTTGTTATTTTTGGTATGAGCAGGTGAGTCTAATTAAAGCCTGACACTGAGTATCTCTGGTTTAGAGTCACGTCCCCGTGGAAAGGTTTGGCAGATTGTGAAGACTGTTCTTTATTTTAATGGTTTGAGTCGCTTTTTTATCCTTTTAGTTTTTAATTTAATCTTTTTGTTGTTATTTTTTATGATTATTTCTGTTATTATCACTAATTCTTTCCTTAAGCGTCTGTTTTAAATATGAGTGTGTGTGGATGGTGTTTGGTTAAGTGTGAAGTCTGACCTCCTCGGGTTTGTCAATAATACTTTTTTTTTTTTTTATAATAAAATGTAATTAAATAAAAAGGTTGTGAAGACTGTGCTGCTGAATCCATGGTTTTATCACATGCCCAGTGTCGGGGATTACACCAGAAGTCATCATCCACATGTTTCCAAATGTCTTTCTGTAAAGGTGAATGCCGCCTCCAGAAAGTTACATACTGTAGCTTTAATAAAGTTTAAGTTTAGTTTGGTTTCTAATGAATTGTACTGTTTTTGTGGATACTTTTTGTAGACCTTAAGCTTTGGTAAATCAGTTTAAAAGAGGATAAGTGGAGGAGTTGTGGCGTTTCACCTTAAACAGCTGCGAGCTCTGGGCCCGTTTCAGAGACTCCTCCAAACTGAAGCTGAACAGAACCTCCGCCTCTGCGTCTCTCAGGCTGAAGCTCTGCTCGTCTGCGCCACAAACCACAGAGGAAGAGTTAAAATACAACAAGAGTTTACAACAACTGGTTTAAATATTGGACTTTTATGAGGGATTAACTGTAACTGTTAAAATGAAAAATGGAAAAAACGGATAATGGACGTTTCCCGTTTACGTCATTTAAACTGCGATGCAGGACTGAACCAAGACTAAACCAGGACTAAAACCAGGACTAAAACCAGGACTGAACCAGGACTAAAACCAGGACTGAACCAGGACTGGACTAACCAGGACTAAAACCAGGACTGAACCAGGACTAAAAGGACTGAACCAGGACTAAAACCAGGACTAAAGGACTAAAACAGGACTAAAACCAGGACTAAAACCAGGACTGAACCAGGACTAAAACCAGGACTAAAACAGGTCTAAACCAGGACTAAAACCAGGACTGAACCATGTCCAGGACCAGACCAGAACCAGACAAGGACTGAGACCAGGACCCAGACCAAGTTCCAGCCCTGGTTCAGTCCCAGTCCTGGTCCCGGTCTCGGTCTCAGTCCCAGTCCAGGTCTCAGTCCTGGTCTCGGCCCTGGTCTGGTTCCGTTTTTTCCATTTTTCATTTAAACACAAAATCGAAAACTGAAAAAACGAATCATTATGTTTTTTGTTTTTTTTTTCATTTTGGTTTTGGAGACGAATAATGAAGAAAATAGTTTTTTCCTTTTCTTATTTTTGGTTTTATTTTGAAAAACGAATGAGCGAACGACACACGATTTAGTTTTTTATCACATTTTTGAAGGCTTGTGGGCGGAGCCTCGTACAGAATGTTACAGCAAACCGTAAAAAGGGTTTGAATCGGGCCTAGGAGAGATCACTAAATTACTCAAAACACACATGGGTGACTCTAAAACCTCTTCAGACAGGTTTTAAATGAAGTTACAGTTAATACCCTATAGAGTTAAAACACGTCATCTTTACACAGTAGTACTTTTACTTTTACTTCACGGTGAAGTCTGGAGTTTTGAGTCTTACCCACAAACTTCTGGCTCCTCCAGCTCTCCTCTAACCACTCCGGCCTCACGATGTGCTTCACCACCGACATGGCGGTCAGGAACTTCACCGTCCGAGACACTTTGGACGCCAACAGGTGAGTGACCCTGTTCCCGGAGTCCGCCACCTCCCCGCCCAACGCGTGCACCCACTGACGGAGAGAAAACAGAACATTTCACGGTTAAAAGTACGCGTGGACCTACAATAGAAAGGTTCAACCACTACAGCTGCAAGAAATATCAGTCTGAAAAGTCACAATTAGGAAATCACGACTGCAGTAATTCAGCGAACATGTCGTCTCTTCAGTGACAAAAGCTTTAGGTGACACCAGAGCTTTAATTCAGAATAAAAATAAAAACAGAAATGAATTCCACTTTAAAAAGACCATGTAAACACTTAATTCCTAACGAAAATAATTATTTGGAATTAAACTTAATTGTGAAGTAAGTGGGTGGTTTATTTAAAGCCGAATTTATTTATTTCTCGATCGTGTAAACGTTTATTCTTCTTAAAAATAATCCCGGTACTCGTTGCGTCGCCTTTCTGACACGATCCGGACGATCCGGCTCCACCGGTCCTGGCTTCGGACTTTTATCCACTGCCTCGATACGGTGCACTTTTGATTCAATACGATACATTTCAAACCTGTTCGATAAAAAATAAAAGGTAAATCGTGACTGTGATTCTAAAAGTCTTTGTTAAACCACGTCTTGTGCAAAGTTCGTATGAAACACAAATAGGGGTGTAACGATATCCAAGTCTCACGATACGATATCATCACAGTATGAACCTCAGCGTACGATATTTATTACGATATTGTGGGAAAGCTCACGATATGGTGGAGAGGCTCACGATTAGGAATGTAACAATATCCAAATCTGTACGATATTTTCACGATATACATCTCACGGTATGATATTTATTGAGATATTTTGTGGAGGTCATTTTGCAATTTTTTTTCCTCTTAAAACACCTTGACAAGACTTAACCCAAAGAACTCAGACTTAAAAGTGTTGGAACTGTTATTTCTTCTTGTCGTCTGCACTGAAATGGAGCAAAGGATCATGGTCTATGTAGTTCCCTCTGTTTTTTTTAACTGTTGCTGCACCATAACTCTTCATTTAAACAAAGACACTTGTGACTCGATATATTGTGATGGTCCACGGTATAATTGTGAGAACTTTAACGATACGATATCACGATATTTTGGTTATCGTTACATCCCTAAACATTTTACAAAGAAACATTTTAATCCTCAAAACTGTGAAAATGTCAAATGTGTTGCATAAACGAGTTTCTTTCCTCTGAACAAGCAAAAAAACTGTAGATCTGTAACAAAATAATTTAGTAAAATATACAAAAAAATAATAATTTAATCTTGGTGATACATCGATACAGCAGCCCATGATATTGATACTGTATCATCACATAAACGATACTATATATTGATATTTCGATATTTTTGCACACCCCTACTTATGAGACTGTGGCACAGCAGACTTGTGCCAAAAGGTCAGTAATTCATTTGTTGTGGGTTTATCCACTTTAATGCACATGAGTTTTTTTTTGAATTGTTGTTTTATTTGAAAGCCCAGTCTAATATGAATGAAAAACTTACTGGTAAACTTGTAAACTAATGAATATTAAATAAACATTTACTTTCTTTTAAAAGCCCGTCTAAAAATGTATTCTAGGCCATTTATGCAATATATATACCGTATTTTCCGCACTATAGGACGCACTTAAAGCCTTTAATTTCATCCAAAAAGGAGTGTGCACCTTATAATCCAGAGCGCCTTATATATGAACTTATTGTTGTGTCTCAGTACGACTTTAGTAAACTACAAAGCTGCACCACTTGCAGCGTTATGGCTCCTGTAGTCAGGAGCATCAGGAGTAAAACAGACTGTGATTCCTTTTAATATCAAAATGCACCTGTCAAGAGACACGCTCACAACGCCCACTTTAAACTCAAGGCTGTTCTAAAGTGAAAGTGTGTTTAGCTGCGTGGGAGCAGTGGATGAGAGAAGGAGAACACACATTCACCAAGACAGAGAGACAGCGCCGAGCCACTTACGCCACGATCTGCCGACGGATCGCGGACGCCCGGGCGAAGGATCAGGATCAACTGTGGTCCGAGACCAGAATCATCACTGAACTGAACTCCAGGGAACAGGAACCACACTGATTGAACTATTACGATTTATTGTGAATACACGAACAATTTAGCGTCTCAGACAGGATTTTTTATTTTTTTTTACACATTACAACTGAACAAAGTTGAGTTATTGTGAACGCATTAAATAAAGTTTGACTGACTTATCTAACTGTTGTGTTTCGTTTAATGCGCCTTATAATCCGGTGCCGTTTATATGTGAAAAAAGTTCAAAAATAGACCATTCAATGACAGTGCGCCTTATAATCCAGAGCCCCTATAGTGCAGAAAATACAGTATACTGAAAAAGTGAAAAACAGAACCATATTTGATGTTCGGTTTCAGTATTCAGCCAAGCGTTTAATTTTTATTTGGTTTCAGTTTCGGCCACAGGTTTTCATTTCGGTGCATCGCTAATCCACTGTATTGTTTTCACAGACTCTTTTTGCCCTTTTCCGTTTGTAAATCTGAACGTAAAAGTATAATCGTGGGTACAGACCTTGGTGTACTGCTGGACCAGCGCAGGTTCAAACCCGGTGAACATGACCAGAGGCGTGGACTCGGGAGGAAGCTTCTGACCCGGAGACTGAACCTCGTCCAACCTAAAAAAAAAAAAAAAAAAAACAACAGATTATCTCTACAGCTGCTTTAGTTTTTAACTGTTTAATCTCCCCTCTGCTTTAGTGTTTCAATCTCTCTGCTATTAAGGTTTTGCGTGTGTGTCAGTCACGCGATTTAATGTTTTGGCGTCCATACTGGAGGTCAAGACTGGGATTATTCAGTTTACAATATAATCACAGCGACTTTAAACAGCGCAAACGACATAAAAGTGTACCAAATCGCCCGCTGGTTGGATCATTATAAAGGTATAAAGTTAAAGTCGTCTTCCTGGGTCGTGGAGTAGATCCTGATCTAATTCCGATGGAGCTTTGTTAGTTTAATCAACGCTCGCTCTGTGTCCGACCTTCAGTATCCAGATATTTACAACGACTTCATTCATTCGACATCGTCCGGCACCAACCAAGAACTGAAAAGCTACACGGGGTTAGAGGATTATTAATATTTTGTAGCGGGATGTGTGAGATCTTTGTTGATCACCAAACATCATGTCTGCTCCTGAGAACAGCCAGGGGAAGTAGAATGGAGATCAAAGTCAGAGCCGGAGCGACACGAGACGGTGGAAATAGAGGCCGGGGTGGGATTCCTCGACAGCGAAAGTGAGGACGAGGGGTGGATTCTGTGCCGGTACACTGGCGAGAAAAACACTTTTGGTATATATATAATTTCATTTAGTGTAAATCCCTTCTTCGTTTGTGTGTGAAATGAAATGTTGACTGCACAGATGTGGTGAAAGCAGCCGGTAGAATCATTGGAACGACTCTGCCAGAAATCAGCACCATCTGCTCCACTCGCTGTCTGAGAAGAGTGCACAACATCCTGCGGGACCAACTGCGCACCACCTTTTTCACCTGCTGCCCTCAGGGAGAAGGTCCAGGTCCATACGGGCCAGAACATCCAGACTGACCAACAGTCTGTATCCACAGGCTGTGAGGCTCCTGAACTCTGCCCCCCTCTCCCCCCTTGGCCCCTCTCTGCCCCCCTCTCACGGACAAAAAACACATCCAACTCTTAACACTGAACTGGTTGCACTGTTGCATTTTTTGTCATGATTCTCAGGTCTCTGTCTGGTTATGTTACTTGACACACAATCATCTTGCTGCTTTAAGAACCGTCTCACGTTGTACTGAGGCCACACTGGGTTAATGTTTACACTTGGGTTTAAGGGGTATTTATTATTTATGGTTTTTGCACTTTAAGGGATGCTCCAAACGCAATTTCGTTGTTCTTCTGTGACAATGACTAGAAGTTGAAATAAATAATAAACAAACAGTAAACAGACGATGTTCTCAGTGGGCTCCATCCTTCTGTTTTTCTGTCCCTCTCCACCTCTGTCTGTGAACTTTATCAGCCGAGATCCGATAAAAAGATACTTTCTATATGATCCCGGTCAAAACCATTGTTATTCACTTCAAATTTTATCGCACACAAATACTACACGTTGGTCCAGATGGATAGTTTGACCTCAAATATGGCGGCATCAACACCAGGTCACGTGGTTTTGTGACGTAAACGCAAAACCTTAATAGTTTAAACAACAAAGATGGAAGGAAAACATCTCCACTGGCTCTCGTCCACGCAGAGTGTAAACACAGAAACGTTTAGTCTCTTATCCTCAGCTTTGTTTTTAGAGTTTGACACATAAAGCGCGTTCAGAGCACGGACCTGGCCTTCTTATTGGCTGGTTCACTGTTGGAGTTGAGCTTCTGTTTCTGCAGCTGCAGGTTCTACAAACACAAACACAAACACGTCGGATTCATTTACAAGGATCACGGAGCAGAAATGAGTTTGTGAAATTAAAATCTGTGACTCGACAGAAGCTGGACTCACCGCTAAGGCCTCTGGAGTCACTTTGATTGGAGCTCTCCACGCAGCTGAAAAAGACAAAACACACAAAGACATTTTCACAATTTGATTTAGCGGAATAGATCAGAATTCCTCTAGTACAGGGGTGGGCAATTATTTTTTCTATGGAGCCACACAAGAAACAGAAAATATTGTATTTAATAAAAAACAGTAAATGTCATTGTTTTGATGAGCTGCTCAGACTGGTAAGAGTTTATGTTCCGACTAAACAATGAAAAAGTGAGGCTGCCTTAAAAAAATATAAATCATTAAAAACACCTCTAAAATAAAAGCGATGCAGTTTTAGTCCATGCATGAGGTAAAATTATAAAACATGTTTATTTTGAATTTTGTTTGTTCATCTTGCTGTGGCTATATTTGAACTGTCGTAGTTTCTGTTCAAATCTGATTTATTATGTGTCTAACAATTGTGAGTTCATGAGCGAGTTCATGAGCGAGCGAGTTCGTGAATTCATGAGCGAGTTCATGAGTGAGTTCATGAGCGAGTGAGTTTGTGAGCGAGTTCGTGAGCGAGTGAGTTCATGAGCGAGTTCGTGAGCAAGTTCATGAGCGAGTGAGTTCGTGAGCGAGTTCGTGAGCGAGTTCGTGAGCGAGTTCCTGAGCTCGTGAGTGAGCGAGTTCGTGAGCGAGTTCGTGAGCGAGTTCGTGAGCGAGTTCGTGAGCGAGTTCGTGAGCGAGTTCCTGAGCGAGTTCCTGAGCGAGTTCCTGAGCGAGTTCGTGAGCGAGTTCCCGAGTTCGTGAGTTCATGAGCGAGTTTGTGAGTTCATGAGCGATTTCTTGAGTGAGCTCGTGAGCGAGTGAGTTCATGAGCGAGTTCGTGAGCGAGTTCCTGAGTTCGTGAGCGAGTTCCTGAGTTCGTGAGCGAGTTCCTGAGTTCGTGAGCGAGTGAGTTCGTGAGCGAGTGAGTTCGTGAGCGAGTGAGTTCGTGAGCGAGTGAGTTCATGAGCGAGTGAGTTCATGAGCGAGTGAGTTCATGAGCGAGTCCGTGAGCGAGTTCGTGAGCAAGTTCGTGAGTGAGTTCCTGAGTTTGTGAGTGAGCGAGTTCGTGAGCGAGTTCCTGAGTTCGTGAGTGAGTTCGTGAGCGAGTTCGTGAGTTCGTGAGCGAGTTCGTGAGCGAGTTCGTGAGTTCGAGTTCGTGAGCGAGTTCGTGGAGCGAGTTCGTGAGCGAGTTCGTGAGCGAGTTCGTGAGTTTGTGAGTTCATGAGCGATTTCTTGAGTGAGTTCGTGAGCGAGTGAGTTCGTGAGCGAGTTCACAAGTTTGTGAGTGAGCTTGTGAGCGAGTTCATGAGCGAGTCCGTGAGCGAGTCCGTGAGCGAGTGAGTTCGTGAGCGAGTTCATGAACGAGTGAGTTCGTGAGCGAGTGAGTCCGTGAGCGAGTTCACAAGTTTGTGAGTGAGTTCGCGAGAAGCTGCATTGATTTTGTTGTTTTGTTTTTTTCTATGTTTATTTGAATTTGTGTAGCCTCCTGTCTGCTCTACTGTATCTGTCTTTTGATTCTGTAACATCTGTAACACCCTCAAAAACGAGATGGCGAAACATCTCAAGGGGCTTATCCTCCAAACAAATAAAATAAAAATAATTCCAAATTAACTTAAACAGGCTGGCCAGGTCTGCTCTAGTATGTGACCAGCTTTATCAAACTTTCTGAGTGAGAATTTATTAACTCTAACTATTAACTCTATTACCACACATTTTTACCTCAAAAATCACAACTCTCGATAAACCAAATAATTTTCTTGACACAGAACAACATGGAGACTAATCCTGTACCGAGCAGGTTGAGGACGAGCTGAGGGTTGGGGGCCAGGGGTTCCGGGTGGTTGTAGTTCTGGTATCTGCTGTGCTGGATCTGCCTCAGAGCCTCGAAGTTTCCCAGTAACACGTCACAAAGCCACTGGGCGTTCACACACGGGATCTTCCACTCTTTGGCTTTCTCGTACTTCAGCCCGCTCGGCCTGAAGGAGAAGAAGAGAAGAACAGAAAGAAGACAAAAAGATAAAATGTTAAATCAGACCTATTCTGCAAAATTGACTTTTCAGAGTTTCTAAACATGTTATTGTAGTTTCTTCTCATCTCACAGAACGAAAACCAACGTGATTCTGTCTTTCTCACTCACACGCACAGAGACAAAGACAGCAAGAGAAAAAAAAAAAAAAAAACAAGCCCGTGGAGCAGAGTGTCCACAAAGTGCGATCAGGCGCGGTCCGTTCACTTCTGCATGTGTTCTTACTCTTTACAGATGAGGACGGTGTTGCTGCGGCACAGATATCCAGTGTATCTCGCTCCCGCCAAATACGCCATCAGCTTCAGGTCGTCCCGATCCGAGTCCACGAAGCCCGTCACCGAGATGATCTGAGGAGGAGACGGTTAAGAACGGTAAATACAGAAAAACGTTATCATATCTAGAAGTAATCTGTGTGTCGTTCATTCATTCGTTTTTCAATGTAAAACTAAAGAAAGAAATAAAAGGAAAAAAAATAAACTTTTCTTCATTATTTGTCTCCAAAACCAAAATGAAAAAAAAAAAATGAAAAAAACAGATAATGATTAATTTGTTTCAGTTTTCGATTTTGTGTTGTTGTTTTTTTAAAACGGATCAAGACCGTTTCCTGTTTACGTGACTTAAACTGTGATGCCGGATAAACCGGGTCCCGGTCTCGGGTCCGGTCTCGGGTCCCGGTCTCGGTCCCGGTCTCGGGTCCCGGTCCTCGGTCCCGGTCTCGGGTCCCGGTCTCGGGTCCCGGTCTCGGGTCCCGGTCCCGGTTCTGTTCCTCGTCTCAGTCTGGTTCTGAACATGTTTTAATCCTGGTCCCGTCCCAGTCCAGGTCTAGTCCCGATCCAGGTCCAGTCCAGGTCCAGTCCAGGTCCAGTCCAGGTCCAGTCCAGGTCCAGTCCGTTGTTCACTGTTGTTTTTTCGTTTTCTTATGTTCTTCATCTTCTCCAGTCCAGGTCCAGTCCCGATCCAGGTCCAGTCCCGATCCAGGTCCAGTCCTCCAGTCCAGGTCCACTCCAGTCCAGGTCACTCCAGTCCAGGTCCACTCCAGTCCAGGTCCATCCAGTCCAGTCCAGGTCCAGTCAAGTCTAGTCCAGGTCCACTCCAGTCCAGTCCGTTGTTCACTGTTGTTTTTTCGTTTTCTTATGTTCTTCGTCTTCTCCAGTCCAGTCCCGGTCCAGTCCTGGTTCGGTTGGGTCCAGTCCGGTCCAGTTTGTTGTTCACTGTTTTTTTGGTTTTCTTAATTTGTTTTTATTTTGAAAAACGAACGAACAAACGACACACAGATTAGAAGTGAAAGTCCGGCATATATAGTCCGGCGTATATATCCGGCGAGTTCCGTACGTGCTGGGAGCAGGGTTTGGCTCCGGGCGGGAAGGCGAACGGCAGGTGCAGCGTGCGACTCGGAGGAACCATCTTCTTCTTCTTCAGAACCGTGTTGAGCCAGTGAGCCGTGACGCACCTCTTCCCCTCCCTCAGCGCCTGAAACGACACGCACAGGTGAGTTTTACTGTTTTACTCCGCCCGGTGTAGAGGAGCGTGCAGTTGTGCTCGGGTCTTACCTGCACATACATGTTACTGACTTGACTTTCGCAGAGTAAATGAGTGCAGCGACCGGTCAGGGTGTTATCGGCCACGCCCCCGCACGCCTGGATGACCTGAAGTACGACGAGAACACGCATTTAGAACTTTCAGAGACAGAGAGAGAGATGACCTGAAGCACGACGAGATCACGCATTTAGAACAGACAGAGAGATGACCTGAAGCACAAGAACACACATTTAGAACAGACAGAGAGAGATGACCTGAAGCACAATGAGAACACACATTTAGAACAGACAGCGAGAGAGAGAGATGACCTGAAGTACGACGAGAACACACATTTAGAACATTCAGAGACAGAGATGACCTGAAGCACGACGAGATCACGCATTTAGAACAGAGAGAGATGACCTGAAGCACAACGAGAACACACATTTAGAACAGACAGAGAGAGATGACCTGAAGCACGATAAGAACACACATTTAGGACAGCGAGAGAGAGAGATGACCTGAAGTACGACGAGAACAAACATTTAGAACTTTCAGCGACAGAGAGACATGACCTGAAGTACGACGAGAACACACATTTAGAACTTTCAGAGACCGAGAGAGAGATGACCTGAAGCACGACGAGAACACACATTTAGAACAGACAGAGAGAGAGATGACCTGAAGCACGACGAGAACACACATTTAGAACTTTCATAGAGAAAGACAAAGAGAAACAGAGAGATAGATCACCTAAAAGAGAGAGGAATAGAGACAGAGAGAGATAGAGAGAAAAAAACAGAGAGAGACAGAGGGAGAGAGAAAAACAGAGACAGAGAGAGAGAGAGAGAAAACCAAAGATAGAGACAGAGGGAGAGAGAGAGAGAGAAAACCAAAGATAGAGACAGAGGGAGAGAGAGAGAGAAAGAGAGAAAACAAACAGAGAGAAAAACAGACAGAGAGACAGAGGGAGATAGACAGAAAAAACAGAGAGAGAGAGAGACAGACGGAGAGAGAGAGAGAGAGAGAAAAAGAGACAGACAGAGACAGACAGAGATTGAGCCAGACAGAGAGAGAGAGAGAGAAAGAGAGGGAGAGACAGAGACAGAGACAAGAGAGAGAGAAGAGAGACAAAGAGAGAGACAGAGAGAGAGATAGACAGAGACAGAGAGAGATAGACAGAGACAGAGAGAGAGATAGACAGAGACAGAGAGAGAGAAACAGAGACAAAGAGAGAGACAGAAACAAAGAGAGAACGGAGAGAGCGAGACATAGACAAAGAGACAGACAGACAGAGAGACCGTGATGGATAGAGACAGAGAGAGATAGAGATAGAGAGAGTTGGAGAGATCACCTAAAGCGGGACAAGACCACACACACATTTATCATTTTAAACACAGGGGAAAGTAAACATCACATTTAAAACAGAGGGATCGTGTCTGACCCGTTTCCATGTGGCCAGGAGCTGCTTGTCGGCCATTTGTTCTGGATAATCTGCGATGGCGAAAACACAGCCCACCAGGAACCCGTCCGAAGGAACTAAAGAAGAGAGAGATAGGGAACAGAAACTTGAAATATGAGCACACACACACACAAAAAAATCAGCACAAAACTGTATTAAAATCACTACATTTGAAGCCATTATACCTCAAAATATGCTATAATACTACTTTTTACTCTAAGTACATTTTTAAACTGTTACTTTAATACCTTTACCTAAGTAAATGTGTTCACATGATACTTTTATGTGTAGGTGTGCATGGAGAAAAATCCCGCACACCGTCTTACTTAATAGTGAAATTTATTCGGACAAACCGTGCAACGTTTCGGCACTAGGCCTTCGTCAAACAGGCTGTTGCTGTTTGCCTGTTTGACGAAGGCCTAGTGCCGAAACGTTGCACGGTATGTCCGAATAAATTTCACTATTAAGTAAGACGGTGTGTGTGATTTTTCTCCATGTTCTTGGGCTGCTCCCTCTCCTCCAACGCACCCATCTCTAGTAATTGATGTGCGAGGCTCTCATTCTTTCATCACGTGTAGGTCTGCAAAAATATTGAAACGTGATGATACAGTATTGATACCGCGGGCTGATGTATCGATATATCTTCAAGAGTATTTTTTTGGTCTATTTTACTAAATTATTTTGTTCCAGCTACAGTTGTGTTTGTTCAGAGGAAGGAAACTCGTTTATGTGACACATTTAACATTTTCACTGTTTTGATGATTAAAATGTTTGTGTTTCATATGAACTTTTACAAAAAGTGGTTTAACAAAGACTTTTACTATCACAGACATGATTTAGACTTTATTTTTTATTGAACCGTTTCAAAATCGATTTGACATTTATGGTACTGAATTGAAAGTGCACTGTATCGAGATATGTAGGCCACGGTACGATACATATATCGAGGTACGCATCGTATCATGGCCTATGTATCACGGTATGTATCGCGGTATGTATCGTACCATGGTCTATGCATCTAGCAATCTATCGTATCGTGGCCTATGTATCGTATCATGGATTATGTATCTAGATATGTATCATATTGCACCTATGTATTGAGGTATGTATCGTATCGTAGCCTATGTATCGAGATATGTATCATACCGTGGCCTATGCATCTAGAGATCCATCATATCGTGGCCTATGTACTGTGGTATGTATCATATTGTGACCTATGTATCGAGGTATGTATCGTAATGCGGCCTGTTTCGAAGTATGCATCGTATCGTGGCCTATGTATCAAGGTATGTATCATACTATGGCCTATGTATCCAGAGATCCATCATATCGTGACCTATGTGCTGAGGTATGTATCATATCATGGCCTTTGCATCGAGATATGTACCGTACCGTGGCCTATGTATCTAGAGATCTATCGTATTGTGACCTATGTATCTAGATATGTATCGTATCGCACCTATTGTATCGTGGCCTATGTATCAAGATATCTACCCTATCAGGACCTATGTATCCAGCAATCTATCGTACCGTGGCCTATGTATCTAGAGAGCCATCATATCGTGACCTATGTACTGAGGTATGTATCGTATCATGGCCTATGTATCGAGATATGTATCGTATTGTGGCCTATGTATCTAGATATGTATTATACCATGGCCTATGCATCTAGAGATCTATTGTATCGTGGCCTATAAATCGAGGTATGTATCGTATCTTGGCCTATGTATCGAAGTATGCACTGTATCATGGCCTATGTATCTAGATATGTTTCGTATCGTGGCCTATGTATCTAGATATGTATCGTATCGGCATCTACTTAATGACACCCCGCCGTATTTACGTGACTATTTTTTGCTCCGGTCTGTGTACTTTTACTTAAGTGACAGAGCAGAGTAATTCCAGCGTCGGCGTGTGTGACTGACCGTCCTGGCCCGGCTCGTGCCCGTACAGCTGCGTGCTCAGCGGCGCCCCCTGTGGCTGCTGCTGCTGGAGCACCTGCAGACCCTGGTGCTGGTTGTGCAGGTGCTGCGTTTGGTGGAGGAAGTGGCTCTGCTGGAGGTGGTGCGGGTGGAGGTGGGTCTGGCCGGGCGTCTGCGTCTGTGGGTGGGGTTGCGGGTGCGGCTGCGGGTGGGTCTGCGGATGGTGCGTCTGGGTCTGCGCTTGGTTCTGTTGCTGGTTCTGTAGGTGCGTCTGTTGGTTCTGTAGGTGCTGTTGTTGTAGCAGGTGCATCCTCTGCTGCTGGAGCTGGTGGAGCGGGTGCTGAGGGCGGAGCTGAGGGTGCTGCTGCAGGAACCTCTGCTGCTGCGCCTGGAGAGAGAGAAAGAGAAAGACAAAAAGAAAGATGTTATGGTCATCATTTTGGAGTTGTTCTACAAGTAACAGGGTTCAAACACTTTTCCACTGACAAAATTTAAAAACTTTTCCATTAATTTTTCATGAGCTAAAGTGAATTTTTATGTTAATCTTTACGGCACCTACATGTGTCCGGTCAAGCAGTAACGGAGGGAAACAGGAGCAGATTTTTGACATTCAAATGTCTCTTATTCAGAAACTAGAGGGACTATTGAAATAAGTAAAATATCAGAATGTAGGAAAGAGTTACACTCCAACAGGGTCAAGTTAAACCTGTGATATTCTTTCAAGTTGTTGACAAAAAATTTAAAAACTCATGTCGGTAACGGAGGGAATGAAATATGCAGCACTTTTTGGGGCAATAAATACAAACAGTGATAACTCTTGGTTCTCACTTACCATATCCTTAACAAACTGGTTTGAATATTTGCTTCATATAGTTTTCTACCATATGGTACAAGATTAGGTTGAAAACCTCTTACTTTTTGACTCATGAGATTTTTTATTAAGAAAGGTCATGGTAACGGAGGGAAAAGTAACGGAGGGAAAATTGTGCAAACAAGTAGAAGGTGCAGGATTTTACATCATTTGTCACTTTTTTCTTCTGAATATTTTAATATTACTTCAAAACGAAAGGAAATTATTTCTATAAAATATGTCAGTCCTTCCAAGCAAATTTTTATCATTTTAAATACATTTTTTAAAAAAATCATGTGCCTTCATCAACAGTTCAAAGATGGAATAACACAAGATATGATGAAATACATCCATTTATTTACATGATTTGCAGGTCTTTGAAATTTGGGAAATAATTTTTGTTCCATGTTTCATACATGGTCTGTTTAAAACATATGGAACTTTAGAACCAAAAATGGTACAGAAAAAAGGTCAACAGTTTCATAAACTAGAGTACACATATGTATCTGTTCAATACAGTTTTTATATCAGATGCATTAACTTGAATTTTTGGTCTTGTTGTTTACTTCTACTTGATCCGGGCCCATGTGTTGACAGTACAGCTGATCAGACTTTTAGGGATAAATATGAAATGCTAAATGGTTTGGGATTATAGTTGTTGATAGTGACGGGCAAATGAGACGGAGCTCCGGAGCACGTCTCGTTCTTTCTGAAACAAATCGCTCTGAAGCACTGCCTCGGAGCTCGTCTCGCAGCAGCCGCTCACGTGACCGAAGTGTGGAAGTGTCGGTCCCTCCCCCGACTGCTTCGCTCTGCGTGTCGATCGCTTCAGTGTATCGAAGCGTTTCATTGGCTCGATGAATGTTCCGCTCTGTGATTGGTTCAGAGTGCTTCAGAGTGTTCGGCGCATTTCTGTGGTTTGACGAGCGATGAACTGCTACAGTATAAAAGATGCACCAATATTTCTTAAAAATGTTGGGCAGTGAGGAGTATTGTGTGACGTTAGTGGTGATTTTGGCGACTTTTGGCATTTGTTTCATTTTCGATGGCGTCTACAAGTGGAAAAAAAGCGATCCATGGTTTGGGATCACTATTTTCTTATTTACAGCATGTTATTTATGTTGCTCTTTACATATTATTTAAAATCATCATTATTATTGTGTTATTATTGTTTTGTGGGTTGTGTTCTGGTTTGCAATGGTTAAATTTGTCCACTAGAGGTCAGTGTTTCTCCAAGGCTGTTTGAGTGTTTGAGACAATATTGCGACTGAGGTGTCAACGCTTTACGAAGTTCCATTCGCCCATCACTAGTAAAAAAGGAAGCTGCTATCTTGAAAACTACCACTTCATGACATCACAAGGTGGAACAGAGCAAATTAAGCTTTAGAGATGTAGGCAGATTAATAAAAAAGTTACTCAAACGTGTGTGAAAGAAACAAATCACAACTCCAGGTCTGTTTTTGAGGAGGTAACAACATTCTAAGACCTCATAAGAGTTATTTTTGCATAATACAGGACCTTTAACGGTGAAATTCCCTTTAAATCTGTGATATTTAAAGCCATACTGTGCAACATTCCAAAGCAATAACATCTCCATGGAGACAGAATCCACCTTTAACACCCCCGTACCTGAGCCATCGGATGCGGGTGCTGCTGAGACATTGGGTGCTGCGTTTGGGACATGGGGTGAGGGAAGCCCTGCCCCCCCTGGACCTGGACCTGGACCGGACCCGGGACCTGGACCGGCACCTGGACCTGGACCTGGACCTGACCCGGGACCTGCTGCTGCTGCTGTTGTTGTTGTTGCTGTTGCTGGAGCTGCTGCTGCTGCTGCTGGAGCTGCTGCTGTTGGTGGTGGTGGAGCTGCATCATGTGGTGCTGGTTCTGGAGGTGGAGCGGCAGGTGCGGCGGGTGCGCGCCCTGCGGGGTGAACTGCTGCTGGGGCACGGGCGGGTGAGGCTGGGGGTGGTCCCCGAGGAGCGGCTGACCTGACAGTTTGGGCTGAAGGGAAAAACAAGAGAACAAGTTTAAAAAGCTGCACTGTGTAACTTTTCGGTTGGGGGGGTTCCATCACTTGCTTGTTTCTATGGATACGTCATCGCTCTGTCTGGAATGTTCCACAGTGTGACTTTAAACAGCTCTACTTTACAGTTATTCAATTACAAGTGGATTTAAAGCTCAAAAATACTGAGAAAAACAGACATTCTGACTGTAAGCGGGGTCGCCTCTCCACAGATCTGACCTGTAACTTGGTCCGGTTTGGTCTCCGTGATGATAGAAATGTTTAATGCCGTACTGTGAAACATTCCAGACAAAGCAATAACATCTCCACGGAGAAAAGCAGGTGTTTTGATTAAATTTATTGTGTTGAAAATATAAAAATCCACCACACACACTACAGGATTTTTCGGTCTTGAATGATTCTTAAACGTGCGACAAAAACGTCAACGTACACGAGGAGAATCTGATGAGATTTTAAGGCAACGTTTATACGGTGACGGTCTGAACAGAAGATGCAAAAGTGGCGTCGCGTCTTCACTTTTTATTCCGCGTTTAATCGAGCGTTTTCGGGAGTAAATCTGCTGCACACGGTGATGCAAAAGTGTGTGGAATTGGATTGTGTGTGTTTGTACTTAAAGCAACAAGAGCGTCTTTGGACATACGGAAGTTTTCACGACACGCATTTTCATCAGCTCCTCCTTCCACAAAGTCGTCCCACCATCGACTGGTGAATCCGTGTATCATTCGTTCATTCGTTTTTCAATATAAAACCAAAAAAATTAAAATGAAAGAAACAACAGTTTTCTTCATTATTTGTCTCCAAAACCAAAATGAAAAAACAGATAACGATTAATTTTTTCAGTTTTCAATTTTGTGTTTAAATGAAGAATGGAAAAAACAAATAACTGCCGTTTCCCGTTTCCGTGACTTCCGTGACTGCGATGCTGAACTTTGGCATACGGACTGAACCAGAGCGGGACCAGAGCCTCCGCGGGGTCCGAGCCTAAGCTTCGAGCGGCCGGTAACTCAGTCCCACGAACCTGGATCAGTCCGTATGCGGTGCAGAAGTCCGACATCGCAGTCATGGCAGTCACGTAAACGGTTTATCCGTTTTTTCCATTCTTCATTTAAACACAAAATCGAAAACTGAAAAAACACGAATCATCACCTGTTTTTTCATTTTGGTTTTGGAGACAAATAATGAAGAAAACTGGTTTTTATATTGAAAAACGAATCAACGAACGACACACGGATTATTCACCAACCCTGTATTTGAGTATTAAATGAAACGATACTAATTATGATTTAAAGTCCGTTTCTGTTACTCTCACCTTTTTACTTTTAAAGAATACTTCAAACTGGATTCCCGGCACAGTTTTGTAAAGCACAATTTCTATAGATAATGTGGATGAGATGCTGCAGTTTAAATTTACCACTTTAGAGGTGACTTAGTTATTTTCGTCACACTGACTTTGTATCTTGCGTCTCTGTGTCCATCACTCCTCTGCCCCTGACGCTCTGTTTTATTGGCCGTTATCGTAGAGTCGCTGATGTTTGGTGGTTACGATCCGACAGAGCCGCTCAGATTCTCACACACACGAGAAGTGCAGCGGCTTCAAAATCGCATACAAAGACGCAAAGTCGGGTCACACCTCCCTGAACTCCTCGAACGAGAAGCAAATCGCAGCCAAAATCGGGCAAATTCTCCTGTAGTGTGTGTGGCGGCCTTAAATCACACTATTTGACATTTGCTGTGAATTGTGAATATGATTATGGTTGTGATTACGTTTCTCACATGAACCATGGGCCCGGGTTTGTCTGAGCTGTTGGTGATGTTCCTCAGAGTCCGAGCAGCCGGACTCCAGCCGGGCATCGCCTCCGGACCTCCGGGGATCGCTCCTGAACAGAGAAAAGAGTTCAACATGAGTTCAGTTTCGTTCAGGATTCATAGAACTGTTTTTACATTTGAAAATTTTGCTTTCAGAGAGAAAACTCAAGCCTCCAGCCTGACCGCTCTTTTTTTCAGTGACCCGTCTTTTGGCTTTCGCAAACTTGACTCAGGCCAGGCTTTTCTCAGTGATTTTCGTCTGAGCCCAAAATATCCGAGATCTCCCTCCATGAATTTCTTGCCATTTATAGTAATTGAGCATCATGTCCTACAGATGTTTGTATTTTCTCATCATTCCGACCAGCTATAACTCAAAACCATCCTTTTTTTTTCTTCTTGCTCCTAGGGATGGGCATGATTAGTCGATTAATCGAAAATTGATCATAAAGAATTTCATCGATTACGTTCATTTTAATCGACAAACCGAATGCAGGTCGCTGTGCGTAGTGTAGTGTGACCAAACGGGGGTCTGTACATGTAGCTCTGTGACTCAGAAGGACTCGCGCGAGACACAGACAGTCCGTCAGTCTGCTACGTACTGAAGCGCAAATGTGTATTTAACAATGACTTGTACAAGAAATTCCACGTTTTCCGTTGCGGTCGGGACAGACACATATGTTTCAGTGTCCAGTTGGAAAAAGTTCACCAGGACACAGAAAACATGAAAAAGTTTTGCCAGGTGAGAGTCGCTCAATGTTGATGACGAGTCCCACCTCCCTCCCCCCGTACAGTGTCCTGGATTTGACAAATGCAAATATGGTCACACTAACCTGTATTCCTGAGTCGTGCCGCATCAGCGCACAAGAGCTGTTTTTTTTCCCTTCACTTAGTTTATGCAAATTAGCCATGTGGTTTTAAGTTTTGTTTCAGTGAGACTTGCGCAAAACTGCATTAAACACATCAAACGGGCTGATGTGGCTCTAGAGTGGTTACAGTTTATATGTCGTAAAGTTGAATTTATTTATGGGCCCGGTCAAGCAGAAGTAAAAAACAAGGCCAAAAATTCAAGTTAATGCATCTGATATAAAAATGTATTGAACAGATACATATGTACTCTAGTTTATGAAACTGTTGACCTTTTTTCTGTACCATTTTTGGTTCTAAAGTTTCATACGTTTTAAACAGACCATGTATGAAACATGGAACAAAAATTATTTCCCAAATTTCAAAGACCTGCAAATCATGTAAATAAATGGAAGTATTTCATCATATCTTGTGTTATTCCATCTTTGAACTGTTGATGAAGGTTCATGATTTTTAAAAAAAATAAAAAATTTATTTAAAATGATAAAAATTTGCTTGGAAGGACTGACATATTTTATAGAAATAGTTTCCTTTCATTTTGAAGTAATATTAAAGTATTCAGAAGAAAAAAGTGACAAATGATGTAAAATCCTGCACCTTCTACTTGTTTGTACAATTTTCCCTCCGTTACTTTTCCCTCCGTTACCATGACCTTTCTTAATAAAAAATCTCATGAGTCAAAAAGTAAGAGGTTTTTCAACCTAATCTTGTACCATATGGTAGAAAACTATATGAAGCAAATATTCAAACCAGTTTGTTAAGGATATGTAAGTGAGAACCAAGAGTTATCACTGTTTGGATTTATTGCCCAAAAAGTGCTGCATATTTCATTCCCTCCGTTACTGACATGAGTTTTTAAATTTTTTGTCAACAACTTGAAAGAATATCACAGGTTTAACTTGACCCTGTTGGAGTGTAACTCTTTCCTACATTCTGATACTTTACTTATTTCAATAGTCCCTCTAGTTTTTGAATAAGAGACATTTGAATGTCAAAAATCTGCCCGTTTCCCTCCGTTAACACTTGACCAGAGCCTTATGCAGAGTAATAGTGCAGATAATAATAATAATGATGATTATTTTAATATAAAAACTTTAATGATTAATCGATAATCGATCGTTAATTCTCCCGACGACTGATTAAGAAAATTTAACCGAATGCCCATCCCTACTTGCTCCACACCGAAAAGGAGGCAGATAAACCACGGCCACATAAATAACCAATCAGAGCGAAGATGTGGGACAGCGCTGTCGAACAAAGTCCTGCTCAGCTGAGGTGTCGAAAACCAGCCGCAAGAACAGCTGAAGGATGCAAGGACAAAGTTTTCATGTTCTTGTGTTCTTAAGTATGAACAGGTCTTTATGCACAGCGCCCTCCTCTGGCACTAAAGGCAGCTGCACACAGACTCACTCTTCTGAACAAGCAGCCGACCCACCAGCCTCAGCCTAGAACCTGCCCTCTGACCCACGTCTCACCTGGAGGTGGAGCCTGGTTCATGGGCGTAGCAGCAGGACGTCCCTCGGGCACTGCCCCAGCTCCAGGAGCATGGACCGGCACAGAGGCACAGAGGTTTATCATCCCACTGGCCCCTCCTCCTCCTCCTCCTCCTCCTCCCGCTGCCGCCGCCGCTGTGGACGCCGGCTCTCTGGTGCCCGGGGGCCCCGCTCTCCTGCGCGCTGTACCCAGGCCGGGAGTCACCTCGGCCGGGGTCCAGTTCAGGTTCGGTCCCTCCTTATCGTTGGAGGAGTCGTCATCGGAGTCGTCAAACATGCGCTAAACGGACAAAAACAAAAGTGGATTTAAATGAAGAGAAGCAGGAGCAGAAGACGCAGAATTTTATATCAGAATTTACTATTTTAAATGCAGATGCTTTTATCAGTTTTTTCTAAGATTTGTCTTTTTAGAGCTTTAAATCATGTTACATTATTGTCCGTTCAAAAACACACGAGTTGTATTTTTGTTTCATTGATTAAAGTCATTTTCTCTGAGCTTCTTAATTAGTCGGTTCACATTTTACCAGCTTAGTCCACTAACTCCAAACTCCAAACAAAACTAGTCTACAGTCACATTGTGCTGACGGAGAATAGGGACATTTGTTTAAGTTAGAAAATGTGAAATAATGTGTCCTAAGGCATGTTTAAATGGGAATTAAAGCTACAAAAATACATAGTATGTGTTTTTTACCCACAGAGTAATGTTAGTCCCTCCATCTGAAATTAAAACAACACAGCAACATCATAAACTGAACTTGTGTCTGACCTCTTGGCGGCGCTCTGGCTTGCGGGGTGGCGGGGACACAGAGTTGAACTTCTTGGGGCCCGGGCGTCTGCGTGGGCTGGAGTCGGAGGAGCTGGAGCCCGGGGACCTCCTGGAGCTCAGGTCTGACTCGTCGTCGCTCTGCTCCTCTGGCTCGATGTAGGTGAGGCGGGGGTGGTACAGAGACTCCTCCTTACGATTCTTATCTGAGAAAACAGGAGAAAAGGTGTGAACAAAAACATTAAATATCGATTGTTCTGGCTCTCAGGCGTTATCTAGTTCATTTATAAACAGTGCATCCGGGAAGTATTCACAGTGCTTATTTTTTCCCACATTTTGTCATGTTACAGCCTCATTCCAAATTGTATTAAATTCATCTCTTACCTCAAAATTCTACACATAATCCCCCACTATGACAATGTGAAAAAAGTTTTTTTTTGACATTTTTTGAATTTATTAAAAATAGAAAACCAATACATCACATTTACATAAGTGTTCACAGCCTTTGCTTAATACTTTGTTGATCCACCTTTGGCAGCAATTACAGCCTCAAGTCTTTTTGAATATGATGCCACAAGCTTAGCACAACTATCTTTAGGCAGTTTTGCCCATTCTTCTTTGCAGTAATTCTCAAGCTCCATCAGGTTGGATGGGAGACGTCTGTGCACAGCCACTTTCAGGTCTCTCCAGAGATGTTCAATCGGATCCAAGTCTGGACTCCGGCTGGGCCAATGCAGGACATTCACAGAGTGGTTCTGAAGCCAATCCTCTGAGATCTTAGCCGTGTGCTTCGGGTCGTTGTCCTGCTGAAAAATGAACTTTCGCTCCAGTCTGAGGTCAAGAGCGCTCTGGAGCAGGTTTTCATCCAGGATATCTCTATTATATATTGCTGCTTTCATTTTTCCTTCTATCCTGACTAGTCTGCCAGTTCCTGCTGCTGAAAAACATGCCCATAGCACGATGCTGCCACCCCCATGCTTCACTGTAGGGACGGTATTGGCCTGGTGATGAGCGGTGCCTGGTTTCCTCCAAACATAACGCCTGGCATTCACACAAAAGAGTTCAATCTTTGTCTCATCAGACCAGAGAAATTTGTTCTCATGGTCTGAGAGTCATTCAGGAGACTTTTGGCAAATTCCAGGCAGGCTGCCATGCTCCTTTTACTAAAGAGTGGCTTTCGTCTGGCCGCTCTACCTCACAGGCCTGATTGGTGGACTGCTGCACAGATGGTTGTCCTTCTGGAAGGCTCTCCTCTCTCCACAGAGGAACGCTGGAGCTCTGACAGTGACCATCAGGTTCTTGATCACCTCCCTGACTAAGGCCCTTTCTCCCCCGATCGCTCAGTTTAGACGGTCGCTCAGCTCAAGAAGAGTCCTGGTGGTTCCAAACATCTTCCATTCACGGATACTGGAGGCCACTCTGCTCACTGGGACCTTCAAAGCAGCAGAAATTTTTCTACATCCTTCCCCAGATTTGTGCCTCAAGACAATCCTGTCTCGCAGGTCTACACACAATTCCTTTGACTTCATGCTTGGTGTTTGTGCTCTGACATGCACGGTCAACTGTGAGGCCTTATATAGACAGGTGTGTGCCTTTCCAAATCATGTCCAATCAACTGAATTTACCGCAGGTCGACTCCAATTAAGCTGTAGAAACATCTCAAGGATGATCAGTGGAAAAAGGACGCACCTGAGCTCAATTTTGAGCTTCATGGCAAAGGCTGTGAATATTTATGTATTTTTTAGTTTTCTATTTTTAATAAATTCAAAAAATGTTTCACATTGTCATAATGGGGTATTGTGTGTAGAATTTTGAAGTAAGAGATGAATTTAATAAAATTTGGAATGAGGCTGTAAAATAACAAAATGTGGGGAAAAAATGAAGCGCTGTGAATACTTTCAGGATGCTCTCTATGCTCTTATTTTGAAATATGTGCTTTTATTTTGGTACTTCACACCAGTCCATGGAACTGGAAGTGTAAAAAAGAGGAGTAAAGAGATGATAAAGTTTTTTTTTGTTTTTTTTTTTTTACATTATTCTATTTAGGTGCAGGTTTTGTACCCTATTTCCTCTCCTGTTTCTGTCATGTACCTTTGACCGAGTCTGTGATCCAGTCTGGAGTCACAATCTTGATGCTGGGGTGTTTCAGAGCGCATTCATACTTCACCTGAAAATAAAAACACACAAAAATGCTCGAGTGAATAATCAATAGTCAATCAATAGTTTTCATTTGGTCCTAAAACATGCCAACCTGTTCAGACTAAAACACAAATGTAAAATGACTCCTTACCCCTTTGGGCTCTTTCACCACCAAATGTGTGACTTTTCTGTTGAGGTTGAGTTGACAGCTGCCTCCATAGAACGTGACGTAGGCCCAAAGACTGTTCAGGTCCTCTGGGATCTGCTCACAAAACCACACACAGACACAGTTTAAAAAGGAGCGTAGAATCCGTGTATCATTCGTTCATTCGTTTTTCAATATAAAACCAAAAAAAAATAAGAAAACGAAAAAGCAACTGTTTTCTTCATTATTTGTCTCCAAAACCAAAATGAAAAAACGGATAACGATTAGTTTTTTCAGTTTTAGATTTTGTGTTTAAATGAAAAATGGAAAAAACGGATAACGACGTGACTGCGAAGCCGGACTTTTGCGCTATATACAGACTGAACCAGGACTGATCCAGGTCCGAGACCAGACCGGGACCAGAGCGGGACTGAGATCAGAACTGAGACCGAGACCAGGCCGGGACCAAACTGGACTCACGCTTCTGTCCAGATGCTGCTCCACCCCGGAACCAGCCGCGGTTCTTGAGCGTGGAGGACCGGAGCAGCCCGTCCGGACCTGTAGTCCACAGCGCATTCTCGCTTTCCCCGCACAGAACCAGCGCGCAGACCATTACACATAACCGCTCGGACCACTGGTGTCGGTCTCAGTCCCGGTCTGGTCCCGGACCTGGATTAGTCCTGGTTCAGTCCGTATGCAGTGCAAAAGTCCAGCTTCGCAGTCACGGAAGTCACGTAAACAGGAAACTGCGTCTAGGTCCGGGACCACACCGGGAACAGACCGGGACCAGAGCGGGACTGAGACAGATCAGACCGAGACCAGACTGGGACCAGACCAAGATCAGACCGAGGGCTCAGAGCCCATGGCAGGGCCGGAGCTCGAAGCTGAGGCTCGGAGTTAAAGCTCGGAGTCCGCTCTGGCCCCGCTCTGGCCCCGCTCTGGCCCCGCTCTGGCCCCGCTCTGGCCCCGCTCTGGCCCCGCTCTGGCCCCGCTCTGGCATCAGTCCTGGTTCAGTCCGTATGCAGCACAAAAGTTCGGCATCACAGTCACGGAAGTCTCCCCAACAAAACTTGTAAACATAGAGCACTTCAGAATCACACTGATACAGATCCAACATTTATGTAAATTTAGCCGAACACATTCTGTACTGTACAGGAGACACGAGTCCCTCAGCCAATCAGGACGCAGCGGGAGGAACAAAATACGCGTTCATACACTGTAAAAACTGCACACAAAAATATCTGCAAGACTGCAAAAGGTGAACCACGATATAGCGAGGGACGACTGTACTGTTTTTTTCGGAATATAAGGCGCAATATCAATAATGTTGAATTCTCTCGTCTATTTTCATACATAAAACGACACTGGATTATAAGGCGCATTAAACGAAACAAACAGACGACACTTGAGACGGATCCTTAGTTCCAGCGTCCACGATCCATCGGCATCGGCAGATCGTGGCGTAATTCGCCCGGCGTCGCCTCCCTGTCTTGGTGAATGTGGATTATGAAAGTGAACGTGGGTGGATCATTTAAGTTTGGATTTTTATTTCCTACGAGGACGACTTAAATATACACTGAGTAATAATGTGTTTAATTCAGCTTTGAGCACATTTGTTTACATTTTACAGAAACAAAACTTAAAACCACGTGGCTCATTTGCATAAACTATGTGCTTAAAAAAAACAGCGATTTTGACAGATTTTTGAGCGTCGTGTATGAATATGTTTTATCAGTTTCACTTTAATTTTTGACGCTCTCCGTGCAAAGCCACTCCCCATTCAGAGCACTGTCACAACTGCTGCACATCACATCAGGTTTGTGAAGTTGTAGTGTACTGTTTTGTGTCCTGCTTTTGACTATTTACAGCAAAACTGACGTGAGAATCTTTTGAGTTTGAATAAGGCCAAGGAGAGATCGCTAGATTACTCAAACATGCATGGACGACTTTAAAACGTTTCTGATTTAAATAAGTCAATTGGTGATTTTTATTTATTTTTTTTAATCACAGAACAAATTCTAGCCTATTAAAAGCGGACTTACCCGAGGGAGACACGCGTTGACCCCAAAGAAGATCTGTCCTGATTCCGGAGAAAACCCCGTCACACTGTTTTTTGTGGTTAAGAAAAAACTCAGGCAGAGAAATCTACTTTTAAAACCGAGCAGATTAAAGCGAAAACAGAAACAGATGACGTAAAGTGTAAAGGATACGGTAGGAGGTCTCCACATCGAACGGAGAGGATCACCCAGGATGGCTGAAAATAAATTAAAAAACATAAAAAATATAGATGTGGGTTAAATTCAGGCGTGAATAAATAGTTTTAAAACACTTTTAGGCGTTTAAACATATCAGTAAAACAGAATAACAATAAAAACTGTCATCGTATTTCAGCTCGTAAGTGTTTAAAAGGTCCTATATTACGGAAAATGGACTCTTATGAGCTTTAAGTCGTGTTCTAATGTTGTTACCTCCTCAAAAAAAACACCTGGAGTTGTGTTTTGTTAAAAATGAGTTACTCAAACATGTGCAAATGAAACAAAACACAACTCCAGGTTCGTTTGCGATGAGGAAACGACATTAGAACAGATCAGAAAATGCCGTAATATTAACGATACATCCATTCTGATCACAGTAATGTATTTTTGGGACTATAAGTTGCACTTTTTTTCATGGTTTGGGTGTTTCCGATGCGATTTATATATTAAAATGTTTGAGTGAAGTGTGGAGAGGCTCTAGTCTTGAGTATCTGCTGCTCCTGTTCCTCCTGTACCACTGTCACTTGGCTCTACTGCGCATGTCTCCTGCAGAAAGAGCCTCTGTCCTGTCTGTATCATGTCAGTCGACTGCACCAATTTAACAATTTAACATTTAAACAAACTTATAAAGACAAAGACTGAGAAGACTGAACACAAATGAGCCCAAAAACAAAATCAGATTCTGCAGATTACAAACTGCAAGTCGTGAAATCTGCAGCTGAAAACGGAAATCGAGCAGCAGAAAGGAAGTTTGGAGTGAGAGAGAAACTTGTGACACCGGGAGGATGCACCATGAAACTTTTCTGAAGTCACTGGATGGACGGACAAAGCCTGGACTTCAGTGACACAGAAACCATCCTGTCGGGATTCAGAAAGAGTCCGTGTAACCTTCGTTTATTCGTTTTTCAAAATAAAAATAAAAAATAAGAAAATGAAAAACTACGAAAAACTATTTTCTTCATTATTTGTCCCCAAAACCAAAATGAAAAAACAGATAAAGATTCGTTTTTTCAGTTTTCGATTTTGTGTTTAAATGAAAAATGGAAAAAAAAACGGATAACGACCATTTCCCGTTTACGTGACTTAAACTGAGATGCCGGACTGAACCAGGACTGGGACCAGAGCGGAACCAGACCGGGACTGAGACTAGGACTTAGACCGGGATTGAGACCGTGATTCAGACTGGGACTGAAAACAGTTTAGTCCTGGTTTAGTCTTGTTTTAATCCTGATTCAGTCCTGGTTCAGTCCGTATGCCGCGCAATAGCCCTGCATCACAGTTTAAGTCACGTAAACAGGAAACGTCCGTTATCTGTGTTTTTATTTTGGTTTTGGAGATGAATAATGAAGAAAATCGTTTTTTCATTTTCTTATTTTCGGTTTTATTTTGAAAAACAAATGAACGACTGACACACGGATTCAGAAAGGCCGGAATAATTCTAACTGGAACTGACACAGAGTCTGACGACAGCGACGCAGAAGAGGAAGCGGCGCTCTGTTTACCTCTGGAGTTTTTCAGAAGTGACACCGAGGATGAAGAACTGAATGGATTTAGTGATTTGGAGTGAGATGGAGAGTTTGGTTAAACTTGTTCTGTTGTTTATGTTACAGTTTATCTGAAGAACTGTTCATATGTGACGTTAACAGTCTGTTGTTCTCTCTTCTATTGTTTTTACTACAACTTTACTTTACACAGGGAATGTCTGCTCCTGATCAGATTTTATAAAATTAATTTCCCCCAAAAGGTACGACTTATGTGTTTTTTTTTCTTATTCATTACACATTTTTGTGCTGGTGCGACTTATACTCTGAAATATACGGTATTGTTATATGTGTTAAATTCGTTCATAATTGTGTTGTGTTTACCTTGACGACGGGCAGATCGAAGACCTCCCTGGACTCGCTGACCTCGGGGTTGTCTCCATCCTCGGCGATGATGTGCGTGGCCAGAGCATTGTACGACACCTCCTTCCCTTTGCCCGCTTTCAACAGCTGCACCACCTGAAAAAGACGAGTTTCCACAGATCAGGGGGCGGCAATTATTACCTTTCTCTTCTTGATTTCAGACACAAATATTATCCGTGCGTGACACCCCCACTCCTCCACAGCTCCCCGAGTAGAAACACCTCCTCTCGCCTCGAACTGCTGTTGAAGTTTCCCGTCCTGACATAATTTATCGACCGACGCGTCAGTCTTTAAACCCTTCGTCTGCTTCAGTCGCGCCGTCGCTGGAAAAAATCTCCAAGAATCACCTCAGTTTGGCCTCGCTCCTTTTCCACTACTCCTCTTCTTTCAGCGACCTCAAAAACTGACTTTCTTTTGCGGCGAACTGGTCGTGGATTCCCGTCCGCCGTCGCGACAAACTTTGCGCAAACTGTGAGGAAGCTACGGTTGGAAAAAGAACCGCTGCGTTGGGCAAGTAAATGCCGTCTTGTCTGTGTGGCATGCATCAGAGGTAGAGATGGGCATTCAATAAAAGTTTCTTAATCGATCGTCGGAAGAATTAACGATCGATTATCGATTAATCATTAACGTTTTTATATTAAAATGATCATCATTATTATTACTATCTGCACTAATCTGCATAAATAAATTCAACTTTACGACATATAAACCGTAACCACTATAGAGCCACATCAGCTGTTTGACATTATAATGTGTTTAATTCAGTTTTTCGCAACTCTCACAGAAACGAAACTTAAAACCACATCCCTTATTTGCATAAACTAAGTGAAGATAAAACTACAGCTCTTGTGTCGTTGATGTGGTTCAATTTCTGTCGGATTAAAAGACATGACTCAGGTGAATACAGGTTAGTGTGACCAGATTTGTGTTTGTCAAAACCAGGACAGCGTACGGGGGGAGGGGGGCGGGGCCTCGTCATCCACATTGAGTGACTCTCACCTGGAAAAACTTTTTCCCACTGGACACCGACACATATGTTCCTGCTTCGTACACTGTGCACATGGACTCACACTTGTCCCAAACGCAACGGAAAGTGTGGAATTTCTTGTACAAATCATCGTTAAATACACATTTGTGCTTCGGTTCGTTACAGACTGACCCACTGTTTGTGTCTCGCTCCTTCTGATGCAGACACATGTACACACCTGTTTGGTCACGACACACACAGCAACCTACATTCGGTTTGTCAATTAAAATTAACGTAATTGATGAAATTCTTAATGATCAATTATCGATTAATCGACTAATCATGCCCATCCCTAATCGGAGGCGAAAGTAATGTTTATTTGACCCCACCACGACCACAGTTGATGGTAGACATGGGCATGTTTAGTCAATCGATAATTGATCATTAAGAATATCGTCGTTTATGTTAATTTTTAATCAACAAACCGAATGTAGGTTGACGCAGGTTGACCGTTTTTCACGTCCTGTCCTAGCCGTCCAGGTTTTTTTTTTGTATAAAGTGATGCAAATGTCAGGGTTGAAGATCTTTCATTGAGTTATTAAACTAAGCGTCTCTCGTCGCATCCGTGCATCAGAAGGAGCGAGACACAAACAGTCGGTCAGTCTGCTACACGCCAAAGAGTAAATACGCATTTAACGAAAATCCAAAATGAAGGAAAAAAGCTTTTATTTTAGTCTATAAAACTTGACTTTCTAATTCAGTGAGTTTGATTTTAAAAAGCTGGTCACAGACAAGAGGACTCTGTTGAAAATAAGATACTTGGAACCTCATTTTTCGCAGGTATCGATACTAAAAAAGAGAAACAGAAGTGAACCTTTTTCCTGAACGATCTAGAGCTGTATCAGAACAAGTAAAAGAGCACATGGACCTGGTTTGGACCCGGTTTAGATTTAGACCTGGTTTAGCTTTAGACCCAGTTTAGACATGCTTTAGAATTAGACCTAGATTAGACCCGGTTTAGACCTGGTTTAGACCTGGTTTAGACCTGGTTTAGACCTGGTTTAAACCTAGGTTAGACCTGGTCTAGACCTAGTTTGGACCTGGTCTGGACCCGGTTTGGACCTGGTCTGGACCCGGTTTGGACCCGGTCTGGACCCGGTTTGGACCCAGTTTGGACCCAGTTTGGACCCAGTTTGGAATTAAACCTAGTTTGGACCTGGTTTGGACCTGGTTTGGACCTGGTTTGGACCTGGTTTGGACCTGGTTTGGACCTGGTTTGGACCTGGTTTGGACCTGGTTTGGAATTAAACCTAGTTTAGACCTAGTTTAGACCTAGTTTAGACCCGGTTTGGACCCGGTTTGGACCCGGTTTGGACCTGGTTATAATCAGTATCGAGTGCTGAGTTTGAAATTTTAGTATTTATGACTATTTAAGTACAAATTAGACTTTAACCCCAAATTTGGACAATACTAAAAAAGACACTGGAAAGTTTTACTATAAAGTTCAGGCTAGAACCAACTTAACACTCATATTTTAAAGATTAAAAAGTGTTATTAGTGCTGATCTAAAATTGTTTTTAGAATCAGTGTTTAGTATTTAGTTTGAAATTGTAACATCTCTGACAAATTATGTAAAAAACACTTTATATTAGACTTTAAATCCAGGTTTGGACACGAAAACAGACACTGGAAAGTTTTATTGCAAATTTCAGGCTAGAACCGACTTAACACTCATATTTTAAAGAATAAAAAGTGTTAATAGCGCTGATCTAACCGGTTTTAGAATTGGTATCAAGTATAAAGTCTATTCCGTAGTATCAAGTTTGAAATGTTACTATCTATGAATAATTATATAATACACTTTATATTAGACTTTAACCCCAGGTCTGGACACTAAAAAAACACTAAAACAGACACTGGAAAGTTTTATTGCAGAATCGACCTCTGAACTAAACAGGTCTATTCCTTAGTATCAAGTTTGAAATGTTAGTATCTATGACTTATTATACAATACACTTTATATTAGACCAGATTCTCAGAATCAAAAGCCAAGACACCGCCAGTTTGTGGAGGGTGGTAATAATAAAACTGCGAAACACATATTTAAGGAGCATTGTTCGGCACATTCATGACTAGAGCTGGTGTCATTAAAAAGTTGCCGATACGATAGACACCTCGATACATCTCTCGATACAGTACGGTGCACTTTTCATTAGATACGATACATTTCAAATCGATTTGATTTGGTTCAATAAAAAATAAAGGCTAAATCATGTCTCTGATACTAAAAGTCTTTGTGAAATCACGTCTTTGCAAAGTTCATGGGACATTTTTTGTATGAAACTGGGACAAATCAGTGGTTTTGTATAAATTTGCTGGGACTGGGACTGTCCCGGGTAAACAGACACACCTGGTCACTCTGTATTAGACTTTAAACCCAGGTCTGGACAAAACTTAAACAGACACTGTGAAGTTTTATTGCAAAGTTCACGTCAGAACTGACCTCTGAACTGAACAGGTCTGTTCCTTAGTATCAAGTTTGAAATGTTAGTATCTATGACCCATTATACAATACATTTTATATTGGACCAGATTTTCAGAATCAAAAACTGGGACACTGCCAGTTTGTGGAGGTTGGTAATAATAAAATTGTGAAACACATAATTAATAACGGAGAATTGTTCTGCACTTGGCACATTCATGACGAACATGTGACTCAGTACAGTCACATTTTCTTTGTGTTCTGGTCATTTTGAAGCAGATTTTCTGATTATTTTAACTAAACAAATGATAATTTATGTTTCTCTTTACTGTTGGCAGGGATCAGATTGGTCAAAAACAGAGACACCTGGGACATTTCCTGGATAAATGTGGTGGGACTGGGACTGTCCCGGGTAAACAGCGACACCTGGTCACTCTGTATTAGACTTTAAACCCAGGTCTGGACACGAACGAAAACACTAAAACAGACACTGGAAAGTTTTATTGCAAAGTTCACGTCAGAACCGACTTCACATTTGTATTTTAAAGAATAAGAAGTGTTACTAGTGCAGATCTGAACTGGTTTCAGAATCAGTATAGAGTATCAAGTTTGAAATTGTATTATCTATGACTAATTATTATTAAAAACACTTTATATTAGACTTTAAATTAGGTTTGGACACTAAAAAAAACACTAAAACAGACACTGGGAAGTTTTATCGCAGAGTTCAGGTTAGACTCGACTTCACACTCGTGTTTAAAAGAATTCGAAGTGTCATTAGCGCGGATGTGAACTGTTGTTAGTGTAAACACGTAAAGGACGAACAGAAGGCGTTTGGCACGGAACACGGACGCGTGCCACAGGTCTCTGCGCGCGCGCACGGGACAAATAAGGACTTTGCGGAAACTTGGACCAAATCTACTCACCTGCAACTGGACATATATCACGGCGGCCGAATTACACCGCAGAACATTTAGAATTAGAATAAAAATGGTTAAAAAAAATGAGCAGAATAGTTATGTGCGCAATAAGGGTCCCGCACTTTGACATGACGTTAATCCCTTTTCCTGCCGTGTCAAACCAAACTGGGGACATGTACATCTTTATAAACATTTGGATTATGAAATGAGGTGCTTTTTAGGTTATTTACGCCGTGCACATTTTTATCTCACATGTCACAAATCCAGAAACAGACGCTAACGTGACGCTAAGGCTGATTTGTGTTTGTGCCCCACGAAATTATAATGTCCACAGCGACCTAAAGTTGAAACGCATTTAAGGAAGTGTGCAGAGAGCTTGCACCGAACGTACTGTCGTCACACGAAAACAATTCAGCAACTAAGTTTAGTATTTCCCACCAAAGTTAGCCCGCTAATCTCTCGGCTAGCGCGTTTAGCCCGTTTCCCATTGACTTCTAATGGCAGAGGCTAAAGCTAAAAACTTAGCATCGCGTGAGCTAACGTGCCCAAACCCCTCACCTTCTGGTCAATGTCTCCCACCACGTAGAATTTGACGTCTTTGAAGAGCTCCTCGGACACTTTGTTCTCCTCGTCGGACATGGTGGTCCATAAAAAAGCGCGGGTCCGGGCGGTTTTAAAAGCGAAAACGAGGCGCCGGAGTGTGAGAATGTGAGCGGGGGAAGAGCGCGTCAGCCGCGGACTCCAGCGCCCAAACTGCGGAGCGCGCCCTCGGATCCACCAGCGCGCGGCCCGGGGGGGACACGGCTCCACAAACATCACGCTTAATAAGACTCTATCATTATTTAACTATTTACACGATTTAGATTGTCATTTATAGCAATACTTAACATAATTCTCTGTCAAGCTCATGCGTAAAGACGAAAATAATCTATATTTTAGGTAAAATATTAGACTGAATCCCCCTGGAAATGGTCCAGTCCACAGACGCTCCAGACAGTGATTTGAGGACGTCTCTACTTATGTCACCACGGCCGCGCTGTCAATTTAGTCAATATTTTTCTTATTTTTTAAAGTAAAACACGATATTAAACATCAGTTTGACTTCATATAAATAGTAAAACGAAATATCTATATTAATTTGTGCAGAGTTGGTACAAAATGACGTCGGTTTACGTTAGAGTGAACAGATTTTCAAAATAAAACACTGGGACACTCCAGGTTTGTGTTTTGGTAATTTTTAAACAGTTTTTCAGTATTTTTCCCAAACAAAATAGGGAAACTTGGGAAATTTCTTGTATAAAAATGGGACAAATCACTGGTTTTGAATAAATATACTGGGACAGGTGAGCACAGACCTGCACAAACATCACTTTTATTAAGATTCTATCATTTATTTAACTATTTACACGATTTAGATTGCCATTCTTTATAATATTCAACATAATTCTCTGTCAAGCTCATGCGTTAAGACGAAAATAATCTATATTTTAGGCAGAAGATTAGACTGAATCCCCCTCGAAATGGTCCAGTCCACAGACGCTCCAGACAGTGATTTGAGGACGTCTCTACTTATGTCACCACGGCCGCGCTGTCAATTTAGTCAATATTTTTCTTATTTTTTAAAGTAAAACACGATATTAAACATCAATTTGACTTCATATAAATAGTAAACCGAAATATCTATATTAATTTGTGCAGAGTTGGTACAAAATGACGTCGGTTTACGTTAGAGTGAACAGATTTTCAAAATAAAACACTGGGACACTCCAGGTTTGTGTTTTTGTCGTTTTTAAACAGTTTTTCTGTATTTTGCTACACAAATGACAATTTATGTCTCTCTTTACTGTTGACAGGGATCAAACTGTTTAAAAATAAGGACACTTTGGGACATTTCTTTTATAACATTGGGACAAATCACTGGTTTTGTACAATATAATGGGACAGGGGAGCAGGAAGCTGCACAAACATCACTTTTATTAAGATTCTATAATTTTTTGACTATTTACACGACTTAGATTGACATTTTTAACAATATTCAACATAATTCTGTGTCAAACACAAGCGTAAAGGCAAAAACAATGTATATTTTACGCAGAAGATTAGACTCTAATTTTATTATTTATATGAGTTTGTGCAGAGTTGGTACAACACTGACACAGGTTTACGTTAGAGTGAACAGATTTTCAAAAAAAAAAAAAAAAAAAAAAAAACTGGGACACTCCAGGTTTGTGTTTTGGTCATTTTTAAACAGTTTTTCAGTATTTTTCCCAAACAAAATAGGGAAACTTGGGAAATTTCTTGTATAAAAATGGGACAAATCATTGGTTTTGAATAAATATACTGGGACAGGTGAGCACAGAGCTGCACAAACATCACTTTTATTAAGATTCTATCATTTATTTAACTATTTACACGATTTAGATTGTCATTTCTTACAATATTCAACATAATTCTGTGTTAAATGCATGCGTAAAGATGAAAATAATCTATATTTTAGGCAAAAGTTTAGCCTGAATCCCCCTGGAAATGGTCCAGTCCACAGACGCTCCAGACAGTGATTTGAGGATGTCTCTACTTATGTCACTACGGCCGCGCTGTCAATTTAGTCAATATTTTTCTTATTTTTTAAAGTAAAACTTTATATTAAACATTAGTTTAACTAAATGTTGACATTTTGTTTTATTATTTATATGAATTTGTGCAGAAATGGGACAAAACTGATACCGGTTTATGTTAGAGTGAACAGATTTTCAAAATAAAAAACTGGGACACTCTTGATTTGTGTTTTGGTCATTTTTAAACAGTTTTTCTGTATTTTCCCAAACAAAATAGGGAAACTTTGGACATTTCTTGTATAAAACTGGGACAAATTACTTGTTTTGGATAAACAGAGCTGCACAAACATCACTTTTATTACAATTCTATAATTTTTTTGACTATTTACATGACTTAGATTGACATTTTTAACAATATTTGACATAATTCAGTGTCAAACTCATGCGTAAAGATGAAAATAGTGCATGTTTTCACTGGTTTTGTATAAATCTGCTGGGACAGGACGCACGTCGGGTGAACTTTTAGTCTATGTGTCAGTTGAACTCTCTTTCCTAAAAAATAATTAACAAGTAGTTTATCTTTTACTAAAACCCAGTTCTAGTGAGAGTTTAATCTGTTTTCATTGTACTTTTGTATTTCTCCTGCTGAAAGATGAAATGACATGAAAGACACAATAATTTACATGAAATACAAGCAACTTTTTTGTTTTTCCATTTAGTTTATAGCACAAAAATGTCCTTGTTTCCATAGAAATTGTATTCCTTTGGCTGGAATGTTCCACATGTTCATAAAGTTAGACCGCTGCACATTTAAGACAAAATATTAAATAATAAATCTGTGGATGTTATAGTGAAAATACGACGTGTACTTGAAGATTATATTTCATACTCTTGTATTTCACTTGTTGAAGTGTTTGTGTGTGTGTGTGTGTGTGTGTGTGTTTTTGTGTGTTTTTCCAGTAGGGGGAAGCAGAGCGACACAGAACTGTGACTGATCCAGAGTTTAATACAGATCCAAGACCTAGGACTAAACCAGGACTAAACCAGGACTAAATCTGGTTCAGTCCTGGTTTAGTCCTGGTCTAGACCTGGTTTAGTCCAGGTTTAGTCCTGGTTTAGTCCTGGTCTAGACCTGGTTTAGTCCTGGTTCAGTACTGGTTTAGTCCAGGTTTAATCATGGTTCAGTCCTGGTTCAGTCCTGGTCTAGTCTTGGTTTAGACCTGGTTTAGTCCTGATTCAGTCCTGGTTTAGTCTTGGTCTAGTCTTGGTTTAGTCCTGGTTTAGTCCTGGTTCAGTCCTGGTCTAGTCTTGGTTTAGTCCTGGTTTAGTCTTGGTCTAGTCTTGGTCTAGTCCTGGTTTAGTCCAGGTTTAGTCCTGGTTCAATCCTGGTTTAGTCTTGGTCTAGTCTTGGTTTAGTCCTGGTTTAGTCCTGGTTCAGTCCTGGTTTAGTCCTGGTTCAGTCCTGGTCTAGTCTTGGTTTAGTCCTGGTTTAGTCTTGGTCTAGTCCTGGTCTAGTCCTGGTTTAGTCCAGGTTTAGTCCTGGTTCAGTCCTGGTCTAGTCCTGGTTTAGTCTTGGTTTAGTCGTGGTTCAGTCCTAGTCTAGTCCTGGTTTAATCCTGGTTTAGTCCTGGTTTAGTCCTGGTTTAGTTCCAGGTCTTGGGTCTGTGTTCGTCTCTGGATCGGTCACACTTCTTTGGACTCTTCTCTGTCAGTTTTAATCAGACTCTCCGTCGTCATGGTGATGTCTGTATCAGGCCGGAGGTTCCTCAGGTGAGCTTTAATGTAGCTGTCAATCAAAAGCACCCTGACGAGCGTGGGCAAAGGTGCAGACAGGTGCAGACAGGTGCAGACAGGTGCAGGTGCTGACAGGTGCAGGCAGGTGCAGGCAGGTTTTAATCTGACCATGAAGATGTAACTTTTTTTTTCACTGAAGAGACCAGCAGCAGCTTCACGGAGATATTTGAGTGTCTTTATTATGAGCAGAGGCGGCGCAACAATTAGGCAAAAGTGGGCGGCTGCTGAGGGGCCCCCAAAACCTAGAGGGGCCCCCAGACAATTTCCTTGGCCAAGTATCTGTGTATCATTTGTTCATTCGTTTTCAAAATAAAACCAAAAATAAGAAAACAAAACAAACAAACAAATAAAAAAAAACGATTTTCTTCATTATTTGCCTCCAAAACCAAAATGAAAAAACAGATAATGATTTTTTTAAATTAATTAATTAATTTATTTTTTTTTTTCGGTTTTCAATTTTGTGTTTAAATGAAAAAAGGAAAAACAGATAATGGACTGAACCAGGACGGGCCCGGAGGTGCGCCCCCGTAGACTGTCGGGTGATCAGGACTGAGACCGGTTTAGTCTTGTTTTAGTCCTGGTTCAGTCCTGGTTTAGGTCTAGGTTTTAGGTCTAAACCAGGTCTGGATCAGGTAGAGGTGTGGAGGATTGGAAAGACACGAGCTCAGTGAAGAGACGAAGCAGTGACACAAAATGTACAGAGAGACACACACACACACAGACACACACAGACACACACACACAGACACACACACACACAGACACACACACACACAGACACACACACACACACAGACACACACACACAGACACACACACACACAGACACACACACACACACACACACACAGACACACACAGACACACACACACACAGACACACACACACAGACACACACACAGACACACACACACAGACACACACACACACACACACACACACACAGACACACACACACACAGACACACACACACACACACACACAGACACACACACACACACACAGACACACACACACACACACAGACACACAGACACACACACACAGACACACACACACACACACACACAGACACACACACACACACACAACACACACACACAGACACACAGACACACACACACAGACACACAGACACACACACAGACACAACACACACACACAGACACACACGTTCTGATGATGTTCTGACGTTCTGATGTTCTGACGTTCTGATGTTCTGATGATGTTCTGATGTTCTGATGTTCTGACGTTCTGATGATGTTCTGATGATGTTCTGATGTTCTGATGTTCTGATTGATGATGTTCTGATGTTCTGATGTTCTGATGTTCTGATGATGTTCTGATGTTCTGATGTTCTGATGTTCTCATGATGTTCTGTTGTTCTG